TTTTATCAATAATAAATTTAACAACTAATTTTAACCATATATTTCATATGATCTATATATTTGATCAACTTTTATCAAAATTTGCTGAAAATATAATTTTTAACCTCCAACAACCAGGGGTTAAGTTTTAAGTAGATTTTGATAATAAAATAATAATAATAATAATAATAATAAAACTATGAAATATATGATTTAAAAAATTGATATAAATTGTGATATGAAAATAAGTAGCTACAAATGAATTTGGGGGAGAAAAAAAAAAGAAAAGAAAAAATAGGGTCAAACAAGCATTTCTCTAGCTAATTATCAGCTAGTTGTCTTCATTTTCAAACCATACATCAAATTCTAAGTTGATAATTTTGTAGAGCGAAAAAGGTGAAGAAGATAGAGCTTGTTTTGATGATTAGATAGAGCTGAGTGACAACAATGAAAGAAAACGATAGTCGTGAAGAGGACGATAATATTTTTAAATAAGAACTAAAGTGATGTTCAACGATATAAAATATAGTAAAATAAATTATTTTCAAATAGTAAATGAAATTAAATTACGTTATAAGTTTTATATGGAATTTTTTTTTTTTTTTTTTTGGGGTCTTGTTCTTGAACATGTCATTATAATTTAAAACGTTTTTCTGTTGCAAAATAAATTAAATAAAAAATGTAATGCTATAATTGGTTGAAATAAGAAAGAGAATGGTTTGGAGCTCCCGGGACATAGTCCAGTGGTGCAAAGGACAAGAGTAAGATTATCTCACGCCTTGTTGGCAGTCGTAGTGTGGGGGTTCGATTCCTGAGACATGGAATTGGACTCCTTATAGGCACAGTGTACAGGCAGCTCTTATTCCTTGACCTATTAGGACACATCTCGCGATTTACCTCCCTCACAAAACTCAAGGGGCGGGACGGTGGGGACCCTCAAGGTTGGGGTTCAACCTTTTTTTAGAATGGTTTGGTGTTAATTATTCATTGATTGTCTAGAGGGTGATAAAGGTTGGTAAAAAAAAAAAAATTAATAAAGTCTTGCTGGGTACAATTGGAGTGTCAAAGAATGACAATTAAGGGTGTGTTTGTCACCCATTATTTGGGAAGAGTGTATTATGAAATAGTGATTGATATTAAAATGTATGATTAAGGGTGTATTTGGGAGTGATTTTTCACTAAAAAAAAATTGATTTTTTTATCGTTATTTCACTATTCCAATCGTAATTTTTGACTTCTTCTCTTACATGTGGTCCTCACTTTTCTTTTGACGATCAAAAAATCGATTTTCAAAATCCCTACTGAACAGAACCTAAAAAAGAAGGAAAATTTTTTATTTACGTGTAATATGATTTTAATAAAGAGTGTGTGGTTGAAAATGAATACTGTAGAAAAAATGGGAGAAAATGAATGACAAACAGGGGCTATAGTAAATAGAGTATGGAAATAAATTAGCAAAATTGTGTAGAATAAATATTGTAAAATTATTGCATAAACCATAAATGAATCCATTTTGCAAATTCCATCAATGATAATAGTATATAAACATATATAAAGTAGCGATTTTGTGTCCAACCTTTTGTTCTTCCGATTTTTGACTCCAAACCATAAGAAGTTAGCCGTTTATCTTTATTTATAGTTTACATATAATGTGCTTCATCGACAATTCTTGGTCCTCATATTATTTTCGCCAGCTAGTTAATTCTTTCACATGCACCTCATATTAAATTTGCACCTTCATTGAAATGGATTTAGACCTTATTATTTGTTATATGTAAATGAAATTAGCACCTTCTTATGCGTAACAATTTTTTTATTGATGAATGTACAGTTAAAATGAGTTAAATTACCGTTGAAGAATGCATTTCGATGGAAAAAATGAGACTCAAACAAAGGCTTAACCATAAGTAAGAAGTGAGAAATGTTTACTTATAATTATTAAGTTTACTTAAAAATTAAAGAAAAAAAAAGTCACATAAGACCAAAATTAATTTATATGTGTGTGTAAATAACTAGTAACTAAAAATACTGCTTATATTTAAAAATTCACTTATATAAAAAAAAAATTTACAACTTAATAAATGCCTGATTAGGAGCGATTGTTTCACCAAAAAAATTGATTTTTTTGACCATTATTTCATTATTACAGCCGTCATATTTGACTTCTTCTCTCACAGGTGGACCTCACTTTTCTCTTAATGGTGAAAAAATCAATTGTTAAAATCACTCCCAAACAGGCTCAGGCTCTAAATAACTTATAAAAAATGAGCTTGTTTGGGCCCGATTTTTCACTCAAAAAATTAATTTTTTGATCGTTATTTTACTATTTCAGCCGTCATATTTAATTTCTTCTCTCACAGATGAATCTTACTTTTTTTTCCTAACGGTCAAAAAAATAATTCTAAAAATTACTCACAAAGAGGCTCTAACTTTTGTAATATCTATATCATTTTCAAGCCTTCTTCGTATAATTTGATTGAGATGGACAATTGTTTGTCCTTTGCAATCAGTGTCTCGTAACTTAAAAAAATCACCCCTAGTGATAATTGCATTTCATTCATATCATTTTCCAGAATTTTAAATGAAGCCATGAAACTTTATAAATGTGCTGCAGGTTCAATGATTTGCAAGCATCTTTGCACTGACTCACGTGCTGCTCCCAAAATATCTACATTGGATTTTATATCAACTTATTTTCATTATCGACAAAATTATAGGGAAAATGCTTGTTGTACATAACTATTTACGTAATGATAAGGTCAAAATGTAAGTGAAGATTTTTTTTTTTAAAAAAAAAATGAGATTTTGATCTAATTAAATTTCGTCACATCATCTAGTGATGAATCGTTATGTAAGTTGTTATGTACATATAGCTCCATCGAAATTATACACAAAGTTTTTGCATTTTGTATGGCTAACATAGGCTGATGGAGAAGGGAGCAGAGCAGCCCAGAAGCAAATTGGTATGTAAAAAATGAAAATTTTAGTTTAAATTCAAGGTATAATAACAAAAGAATAAAAATTTAGACCTTGTTTGAACCACATTATTTTCATAAGAATGCATTTTTGAATAGTATATTGATGAAAAATGTGTGATTAAAAGATAAGAAAAACTTTTGAATTTGCGTGTAATATTGTTTTATTAAAAAATATGTGATTAAAATAATATCAAATTACTATATAAAAATGTATTTTTTAAAGAATATGGGTCAAACAAGACCTTAAATCAGTTTAAAAATTAATTATAGCCCAACTAACTTCTCCCAACCCAAGCCCAATGTTCAATCTTTCAAATTTAGTTTATGATTTTACAACAATTACAAATTTATTTTATTCATAGTCATGCATAAATAACTCATTATCAAATTAGGTACTTTAAATTATATATATTTAATTAATAAATAATTTTTATTAATTAAAATAAAGATAATGACTTATTTTAACTAGTATGAGATGCCACATGTCTGACTAAGCTTAAAATAATTAAATCTTTTCTTATGTATTTTTCATATATAACTTATCTATAATTGTGAGTTAAATATTTACTTATTTCAACCATGAAATTCATGTTATAATCAAAATAAATAATATGCTCTATATTTAATTTTTCTTAATAAAAATATATTTATTAGAACTTTGTCATAGTGTCCAAAAAATATAGTTTGACCAATTTTGTCATGAGCATCGTGACTTTAACATTTTAAACTAAATTTCGTGTGGGAAGGAGCATCTTCTATTACATGAGTTCATTAAAAAACAAATTATATTCCAGCCCACACCGACATATCTTTATGCCTCCGTCCATGTTGACTAATGCACAAGATGTTATTGAGAAGAAAGTAACGAAATACTTATGACTCGTTTGATAAAATTCTGCTAAATCTATATTTTAACTTGTCAAATTTCAATTTTAATCACACATCTCACGAGACACATACAAGTTTTTAGGCAAACTAATGTTTTTATGGATGTAATCCGTCTAGTGATCCTTATGCTGCAACGGAATCAGAGGTTTAAGATCATGGTTGGACAAATGAAATGTTTGAAAAAGTTTGTAAAAAAAGAAGAAGAACGGTTTGAACTGCAGCTGCAATTATCACCATTTTTAAATTATACATGCTAGCTTGAACTATATAATTTAGTACACATGATATATGAGACAAAACAATGTCACATACTTTGTAACTGGTTATCATAGTCACTCAACTTTATAAGTTATAATCACACAATTGAATAAGTCATACTCACAACGTATTACAATTTATTTATTTATTTTTATTATTTTTTTATTGCAAATTGTGGGAATATATAATCAATTTGTTGCGAATTTTTCAAAATTATGATCGAAAACATGGTGGTCGATACCCATGAGCGGAAAATTTGTTTGTAAATGATTATTCATTCTTTCCTTCTCCAACAAATGGAAAAATGGTGAAGAAACTGTGACAACGAGAAGGAAACATTTATCTAGAGAAATCAAGTTAGGGAAATTGTGGATAAATTTTTCATTTATTCTGAAAAAATAACGACATGAATGAGCAAGATTCTATTTAAAAATTATAATAATAAAAAAAAAAAACTGAACCCCAACTTTGAGGGTCCCCACCACCCTGCCTCTAGAGCTTTCTGATGGAGGTAAATCACGGGATGTGCCCAGCATGCGAGGGAACAAAAGCTGTCTGTACACTGTGCCTATAAGGAGTCCAATTCCATATCTCAAGAATCGAACCTTCATACTACGGTTGCTAGCAAGGAGTGAAATAAACTTACTTCTGTCCGTTGCACCACTAAGCTATCCCCCGAGGAACTGAATGTGCAAGATTCTATTTCTATTTTAGGATGTGTGAGAATATTGGGGAGGAAGATCTATGATTGACATTTTTAAGAAAGTGGTAAGATGAGAGATAATATCTCAATTATTCCTTAGCAAATATCAATTTAAAATAATATCACCTGATTTTTAAAATAATTCGACTAATTTAATTTTTTTACAAATGAATTCTTAAATTATAATAGTTGACAAAATTGATAGCCCAATAGCCCATTTGCGGTGCCTTCTCCTCGAATTTTGCCTGAAAGAATCGACCTCCGCCCGTCCCACCCCTTGAAGACAAGATCGGTAGCCCAATAGCCCATTTTGTGGTTCTTTCTCTTCGAATTTTGCACTAGGCGCAGTTAGATATCCTCTCCAGGTGGCTCCGCCGTCGTTTGTGTATGGTTATGTCCTTGCCTTCAGCACCAGCCGTCCCTCAAGTGTAATCCCCTCATCCCCTTCCATATACCTGTATTTTCTGTAATTCAATTATTTAGATTGGGGCAGTTAACTGAATTTATTCACAATGTTGTGCCGACCTTCAGTTTCTTATGCTTTACATACAGCTCATAGTTTATTGAGGAATAAATGGATGCCATTAGTCACGATTCATCACCATCCCTTCCTACTTTCTGTCCATTTTTGTCGTTGTGATAGGTGTACAGAAATACCCAAGTCTCCAATTTTTACATCGAATCGAACTTCACTTATCAACCCATCTTTTGTTTATAGGAGAATTTCTAGTTCAGCTACCGAATTAGTTCTTCCATTAAGATTTGGTGGTTATAGGTTTAGGCAATTTTGCACTTTAGAAGCAGTTGCATTGGAGGAAATATCTCAAACTAGATGTAATGATGTTATTGACAAGGTGTACAGAACAGTCTTAGATAACTCCCATCCTGAGCATAAAATGGAATGGGCTCTTGATAAACTAGGTATGGAACTGACAACACCTCTGGTGGTAGAGGTCTTACACAGGCTTCGTTTTGAGGAGAAATTGGCATTTAGGTTTTTTAATTGGGCAGGGCATCAAGAACACTATAGTCATGAGCCTCAGGCGTATAATGAGATGATTGACATTTTATCAAGTACAAAGTACAAGGTGAAGCAGTTCCGGATTGTGTGTGATCTGCTGGATTATATGAAAAGGAACGACAAGAGTTCTGTTCCTATTGAGGTTTTGTTGACCATTTTGAGACAGTATACCGAGAAGCACTTGACACATCTTCAAAAGTTTGCAAAGAAGAAGAAGATAAGGGTGAAGACTCAACCGGAAATTAATGCATTTAATTTGTTGCTTGATGCTATGTGTAAGTGTAGTCTTGTTGAGGATGCTGAAGCTATGTTTAAGCGGGTGATGCACAAGATCAAACCAAATGCTGACACATACAATATTTTGTTTTTTGGATGGTGCAGGGTCAGAAACCCAGCAAGATCTATGATTGTGCTTGAGGATATGATGAAAATGGGACATACTCCAGATAATTTTATGTATAATACTGCCATTGATACCTTCTGCAAATCAGGTATGGTGATTGAAGCTGTTGAAATTTTGGAGTTTATGAAATCAAAAGGCTCAACTATGTCTTCTCCTACTGCAAAAACTTATGCTATAATGATTGTGGCTCTTGCTCAGAATGACAGAATGGAGGAATGCTTCAAACTCTTAGCGGATATGAGAAATAGTGGCTGCCTTCCAGATGTGTCAACATACAAAGACCTGATTGAAGGAATGTGTTTGGTTGGAAAGATTGAGGCAGCCTATAGAGTTTTGGATGAGATGAGCAAGTCGGGTTACCCTCCTGATGTTGTTACATACAACTGTTTCCTGAAGGTTCTTTGTGATAATAAAGACAGCAACGAAGCTCTTAGGCTATACAGGAAAATGATTGAGGTGAATTGTGTGCCAAGTGTACAAACTTATAATATGCTGATTGTAATGTTTTTCAAGATAGGTGATCCTGATGGAGCGTTTGAGACCTGGCAGGAGATGGATAAGAGGGGCTGTGCACGGGACGTGGATACTTATTGCGTGATGGTTGAAGGGCTTTTTGATTCTGGTAATGCCAAGGAAGCAAATGTTCTTTTAGAAGAAATTGTAAACAGGGGAATGAAGTTTCCATACCGGAAATTTGATGCATTCTTGATGCAGCTTTCTGCTATTGGTGATCTCCATGCTATTCAAAGACTATCAGAGCACATGAGGAAATTCTACAATCCTGCTATGGCACGTCGTTTTGCTTTAAATCAGAAGCGAAAAAGCATGAGCTTAAGAGGGAAGTGAACAAGAACTTTTGTGGGTTATTGTATGGTTTGAAATGATTTCTCTGCACTGTTATGGCGTTTCTGTTTGTGAAATCTAAATAATGACGAGAGTTATACCTGAAAAGCACAGAAGGAAAAAGTTTCTCGAGGCTTCAGAATGCTTGATTTGATTGATAATTTGGCTTCAAGATATGGTACACATGTGCTCCCCACCCAACTAAAGAAAAAAACAAGGGTGGCCATGCCTGGCTGGCTTTGTCATGAATGCTGTGGGGTGCGCTCAAATTTAAGCCTTTTGTGTATACACAATAAAAGATGAAGTCTGTTTGAGTTGCAAACCAGAGTACTCTTCAAGAGTAGGTAATGTTACTAGCCTTCACAATGTTTTTGAAGTGGAATTGAAGAATCTCAACTGAGTGTAATAAACCATGTAGATCTTTGTGAAATGCAAAATATTAAGGAATAACTTATGTTTTTCATATTTTGGTTTGTTACTTAAACTTTAATGCCCAAGGATAAATTTACTCTGAAATGAAATTGACTAGATTTTAGTTTCTTTTCTTAAAATACTGATTCATTCTATTTTTTTATTTATTTTTTATTTTTTTATGTTCGGTTCATTGCTTCATCTATTGAAAGATTTCAAAGCAATTGATCCTAAACAACCATAACATGCTGGGATAACGTGTTTTACTGACATTATTACTTCTATAAACGAAAGTCTCTTTAGATTTGCAATTAATTAGTAGCGTTCCATTTCACTTCAGAAAATTGTTTCTATCCCCAAATTGCTTAAAATTCGTTTGCTCTGAACTGCTGGGTGAATGTTGATTAAGAATCTTGCCTTTTTACATCAAGGAAACGGCTAAGACACCAGCATATTGTTCATATAGAAACCATCAATTTGTTCACAAATAATGGTATTGCTGAACATAACCTGCAGCGAATAATACAGGTCTGCAGGGGTGCATTCGTTAAGTTTAAGCTTATTTTACAACATCGGAAATGTTATAAATCTTTTCCCTCTCGTTGCAAGGTTACAAGAGGTTAGAGCAATCGGGTATGTCTTGCAAATATAGCACGAGTTACTAGTGCATCTCGTTACAGGTCTGCAGGGGTGCATTCGTTAAGTTTAAGCTTATTTTACAACATCGGAAATGTTATAAATCTTTTCCCTGTCGTTGCAAGCTTACAAGAGGTTAAAGCAATCGGGTATGTCTTGCAAAAATAGCACGAGTTACTAGTGTATCTCGTTGGCTTATCTTTTGCATGACATTTCATATTCTCTCACAATTCAGAATGTACATTTCCAAGGTCAGATTTGAAGTTGCTTGTGAACTCTTTGGTTTTGTTGTCGATGCCTAGAATTTTTTCATTCTTTTCTCATGCGCCCATCTACTTGTACACAAACAATTACATTACACGTACACAGACAATTACACGTGTATCTCTGAGTATAGGCAAATCTATTCTGATTAATGCTTTAGCAAACTTATGGTGCCATTTTTCCTTGAGCTTGATTGAGATCATATAAAGATTGGGCAAGTTTGCACATTTTGTGTTATTGTCCTGTACCACGTTATTGCTGCATATATGTTTTTCAACTTAATGTACTATTTGGAAATGCAGTTTTTATGTTCATATCATGATCTCTAGATTTGTATAAATAACTTCCCACCTTCAAGAATTTGTGAAGGAACTCGAGAGACTTGTCTGGTTTTCCCGTATGTTTATTTTCTAAGAGGAAGATTGACAGTGTTCCCTTTGAAATTCTGCTAGCATTTGATATATTATGGAGTAATTTAAGCTTCTTATATTATGAAAATGCTGATTGAAGATGTTGACATACTAAAAGTGCAGCCCAAATCGAATAGCCCAAGAAATGAAGTCCAACTGGACAATTCAGGATAAAGGCCAGATAGGGTTATTAATGAATGCAGTGGAAGCCCACGAACACGGTAACATCATCGCCCAAGCTTGCAAGACGCCCAAGATTTAAGCGAATGAAGTGCCTTACAGTCGCCCAGAGCTATGACCCTGTTCTCGTCCAAACCTTCGAATCGTCCAGGATCTTAGCAAACATAAGAATGTTATGGTTATCCAGAAGTGCAGTTATTGAAACAGTTATTGAGTAACTTTATCACGTTCCATGATTCAAGGAGTTCAGTTGAAAACGGTTGAACGACAAATAGTAGTGGTAGCAGTTAGAGACGGCAGTTCCACGACAAGTTAGCTACCATAAAGAAAGTGGGTAGTTATAGAGCAATCAAACAGTTTCTAAGCGGTTGATCACGAAAAAATCATTAAGGGAATATAAAAGGAAGAGAAGACATAGAGCAGAGAACCTGAATCAAACACTTTCAAACAGAGAATATGTAATTTCAATTTCTTAGTTTAGATTTAAAACATTTCTTTTCAGTACTCGTGTGCTTGCGCTCCTTGGAGGCATTCTGTTTAGTTCAAATTGTAAAGTCATTGTCAATAAAACACCCATTTTTGGGACTTTGTCTCAAGAGGTTTGTTCCTCACACAATCGTCTGATTTTCTTTTTAATTGTTAGCGACTACCCGCTCGAAACAGAAGAATGTGACACAAGCTCCCTTCTTTGCCCCCTTTTTATTCCTTGAGAGATAGGGAGTCTCCCAAGTTCTTGTAAAAGGAACTCGAGAGACTTGTCTGGTTTTCCTATAAGTTTATTTTCTAAGAGGAAGATTGATAGAGTTCCCTTTGAAATTCTGCTAGCATGTGATATATTATGGAGTAATTTAAGCTTCTTATGGTATGAAAATGCTGATTGAAGAATTTGTGACACAAGCTCCCTTCTTTGCTCCCTCTTTATTCCTTGAGAGATAGGGAGTCTCCCAAGTTCTTGTAGAAGTCATTAGAACATCAGATTTACGTGTAAATTTATTTTATTGAAAAAATTTCTCCTCAAATATATTTCCTATAAAAGACATGCAAAATATATTTCCCTCGTCTCTTCTAATTTATATCTTTTCACCAGTCTTCAGTTTTTGAGAAATTCAACGGTTTTCAAATTATATTTTATATTTAAATTAATATCTTCAAAGGTAGAAAATGCTTTCAAACGCGGTACGTATCCTCTAATTATTATAATAATGATGCTTGCTCTAATTACTATAATTATAATTATTGTGGTACGTATGCCTCCAGGGCACATCTCCAAGTGGTAAAAGGGGAGGGTGGAGAAATCCAGCTTTGCTTGAGGCTGCTGCGTCAAGGGTTCGAATCCTGAAATATGGATTTGGCTCTTGAGTAAGAGTAAGTGTACAAGCAGCCTTCCACCCTGTACCCTTGGAGGCATAACCTGCGATTTACCTCCTTCATGATGCTTCAGGGCAGGGGCGGTGGGGGGCCCTTAAGGTTGGGGTTCAACCTTTAATTATTGTGGTACGTATGGGAGCAGATGGGTCCATTACTTGGTATTTTGGGGAGGAAGAAGAAAAAGATAGCAAACCTTAAATCGGTAGGATCAGAAAAATACGATTTTCCTTTACAAAAATATTTATAATTAAATTTTCAATAGATTTTAATAAAAATTAATGTAATGTATTGTTGAAAAGTTGGAGGTTACACGAAATATATAATTAAAATTAATTATTAAATTGAATTTAAATTTAAGTTTAAATTTTAATTTCCATTAAACGGGCTTAATATATCTAATTACTTGTATACATAATAGTGTGATATATAACAAAAAAGGGATGTATAATTGTTATACTGTTATGAAAAGAGAAAAGAGAGTGTGAGAGAGAGAGAGAATAAAAGTCAACAAACTTGTGCTTATTATAATGAGAATCAAAGCCTTATATTTTTAGTAAAGGATTAGAGATATAATAATAAAATTAGGGCTGTAGGGGTACAATTTTTATTCACTAATAAACTTACAATTTACAAGACTCTCTTTGAATGATACATTACAAAATATTTGTATCTTTGAAACTTTGTTCAATAAAAATTCAATGGAACAAAAAAATTGAACAAAGGAAAAAGAGTGCAGTTATCTTGGAGTATTAAAGATAAATTCTGACATGTTAAAATCTTGTTAGGAAAATTCAACGAGATAAAAGCTAAGCAAGGGAAAAAGAGTACAACTACTCCCCTCTGATGTTAATCACTGAAAATCTTTGAATCGATGCATTCCAATCATGTGAACCAATTTCCTGAATGCAGATGTTGACAGTGATTTTGAAAATAAATCAACCACATTTCACTTGAACAAATTTGTTAAACATCGATGTCGTCGTTCTTTTGAAACTCATGTGTATAAAAGAATTTTAGAGAAATATGCTTCGTCCTGTCACCTTTGATATTGTCTCATTTGAATTGTGTAATACAAGCAGCATGTTTTCATATAAAATTATTAGACTGCCTTTTGTTAAAGTTAATCGTAGGATGCTTGGATACGATGGATCATGTTCCTCAACCATATATATTCTTACCATGCTTTATGAATTGCAATAATTTCAAAATGATTATTTCACAGATCTCCATGACATAGTTGTTCCTTCACATGAATGCATATCTTGTTTATAATTTAGCTTTATGTAGATCAGATAGAAAACTTACATCTGCATATTCCACTAAAGTAGATCCTGACATTTGAGAATAAAATAATCTCAAATTAATAGTACATTTTAAATAGCAAAAAAAGTGTTTAACACCATTCCAATGTTTTTGAATTGGTGTAAGGTTATATCTTGTAAAGAGATTTACAGAAAAACTATGTCGGGTCGAGTGTAGTTTATAAGATAAGTAAGTGCTCTAATTATACTAAGATATAGTACTTCTGGACCAAAAATATCTTCTCCATCTTCAAGTGGACGGAATGGATATTTTTTCCCATCAAGTGATCGAAAAACTACAGGTGATGTCAATGGATGTATATTATATATATAAAAACATTTTAATTTTTTTCTGTATATGTAAATTGATATATAAATAAAATCCTTTTAAAAATTGTTCAATCAGCAACTCAAAACAAAATTTGATTTTTCCTAAATCTTCATCTCAAATTCATTTTTCAAACAATCTGCAGTTTTGTTGAACTCTTCAGGAGTTTCAGTTAAATTCAAATCATTAATATAATATACCACAATTGAAAATTCAATATAGTTTTCTTTATGAAAATACATGGCTGATATCGTCATTTTTAGCATTCCTTCAACAAATATTCGCTAATGCGATTATAGTACATGCTTTCGAATTGTTTCAATTCATATAATGATCTTTGTAATTTAATTGAAAACATGGTTATCGGGCATGTGTCATTTGTTCATGGCACTTTAAGTCCTTCGGGGACTTTCACACACATACACACACACATGTGTCACTATCAAGTGAACCATACAAATAGGTAGTTACTACATCCATAAGGCGCATATCGAGCCTTTAACACAATCAAATCAATTAAGAACTAAAAGTGATGGTGTCCATTATGGAATAATGTGATTTCTCACAATCAATTCCTGGTCTTTGTGAGAATTTTGAGTTGCGAATCGGATTTTGTATCTTGTAATTTCATTATTTTCATTTCTAATTCGTATAAAACCCACTGTATCCTATAGGGATTACATTTTTAGGTATTCAAACTACATGTTCAAACACTTTTCGTTTCTCTAAAGAATTTGATTCTTCCTATATGATTTCTTTCCATTTTGACCAATCAACTTCTTTGATCCTTGCAACAATCAATGTGAGATGGAATTATTTCATTCAAAGAAATTTTACCTTGTTTTTCACGGTATAATTTTTCCCTCCCAGAGCTGGAGTAATTATTTTATCAAAATGATAATCTGCAAAATGTATAGTAAATAAATTACTCGTTAAAAATTCAAGATATCTAATGATAAATGGTGAATCAAAACCCACATAAATCTTAAGTCTTTGTTGGGGACCCATTTTAATGCATTGTGAGGATGAAATAAGGATTTGGATAGTACAATCAGAAACCCGTAGAAGAGAAATATTATGTTAATGACCAAATAGAAGTTGTAAAGGCGGATATTGATAATAGGTAGTTGGTCCTATGCGAACCAATGATGTGAATTTTGTTTTCATAAGTAATGGTCCATCAATAAGTTGTAGACGTTTAATAAACGATTCCATTAAATCATTTTGTATATGGACATGCACGATCGAATGTTTAATAAAAATTTCAATTGACATACAATAATCATTGAATGCTTGTGATCTAAATTCACTAGCATTATCAACACGAATAGCTTTGATTATGTAATAGAGGAATTATGCTCGTAATTTTATAATTTGAGCAAGTAGTCTAACAAATGTTACATTTCTACTGGAAAGTAGGTAAGTATGTGATCATCTAATAAAATCAGTTAGTACCATAAAATAACGAAGCGGTCCACATAGTGGGTGTATTAGCTCACATATATCTCCATGAATTCTTCTAAAAGTTGGAAATTTAGTATTGCCTTTGTAGTTAGGGAAGGCAATGAGCCGAGCCGGCTCTTTAATTGATGAGCTAGGCTCGGGCTCGTGGCGAGTCGAGCTCAAGCTCGGCTTAGCCCACCCGCTCGCGAGCTCACGAGCCGTTCGCAAGCTCGTAATTTTTTTAATTTTTTCAATCTTTTTTGGTAAATTTGCATATTTTTTGACGAGCTCGTTGGCTTGTCAAAAATAGCTTGTGGGCTCGACAAGCCGAGCAAGCTTGACTCGTGGAATCGAGTCCCCTGCTTAGCTTGGGCTCAGACTCGTTATTTGACGAGCCCAAGTCATCCACGAGCTGGGTTTTAACTAGTCAACAAGCCGCTCACCCCGTTTGACATCCCTCTTTGTAGTCAATGGTTTAATAACTAACTTGTTTTGCGAACATGATACACATAAATAATTATTAGGTAAAAAATATCTTCTAGTTCTTTAGAAGAT